TCGCGCGGCGCCAGCAGCGCCGCCGCCAGCGCCTCGCCCTCGGCGTGCAGGTCCCGCTCCAGGCAGCGCAGCGTGCTCAGCGCGGCGTGCGAGGCCAGCGCGCGCAGCGTGGGCAGGCCCGCGCCGCCAGCCACGCCCTCCAGCGCCTCGCAGGCCTCGGCCAGCTCGTCCAGCACCGCCGCGCCCAGCGAAGGGTCCGGGTCCAGCACCGCGTGCACCGCCTCGCTGCGGTGCCATGGACGAATGGTGGAAGGGAGGAATGAGGCCAGGGAGCGTGGCGCAGGACGCGACCCCTCACCATCCCCTGCAACCTGACAGTGTTTGCCAAGATTGGTCATCCCCAAAACCCATGAAACTCCACGAGCCCACCTGTACGTGGAAACGGTGGAGGCCACCAGCGCCGCGCCTGCGTCGGCCGCGGCCGCCAGCCGGGCGCGCGCCGGGGCGGCCCCCTCCGCCAGCTCGTCCGCCAGCCCGCTCAGCCCTGGGCCGGCCACGGCGACAAAGCCGGGGAGCCAGGAGAGGAGGGCGCGCGTCAGCTCCACGACGTGCGCGACGGCAGCGGGCCGGGCGTCTTGCCCGGGCCCGGGGTCCGCGGCCGCCGCGCCCGGCCCCGGCGGCGCGGTGTCGTCTGCCACCGACATGCTCAGGCGGCGGGCGTGGGCTTTGCGGGGGATGCCCAGGCTGGCGAACGCAGTCGCCTCCTCCTGCGTGATGGTGGGAGGTGGGGCAGGTGGGTGAGGCGGCGGCATGTGCCCTCATGAGGCAGGTGTCTGCTCCCCCCGACTTAGAGACACCGGGAAGGCAGGCGGTTTCCTGCTCCCTCATCTTGCCCGATGTCATTGCCAAAAGACGGCGTCACTGTGGTGCCTCTGAGCCCACCCCCCCTCACCCAGCCCCCCCTTCCCCCCGAAAATCACCACCAAAGCCAAGCCCCCTCCTCACCTCAAGCTCGCGCTGCAGGGCCGCCTGCTGCTCGGCGGCGTGCAGCATGGCGTCACGCTGTGTGCGCTGGGCCTCCAGCATGGCGCCAACCTGGCCCTCCTGCGACTTGACAAACAGCCTGCGGAAAGGCAGATGGGTGGGGCTTGAGTGGGGTGCGGAGGCCCCCTCCAGGGTCAACGTTCATACACAATGGGGTGAGGCAGCGCCCTGGGATCGAGTGCTTCCGAGAAGTCGAGACTCTGGCAGCTGCGAGGCCTCGGCACCAGAGTTGAGTGTTGTACCGATGGCAGGGCTCCCTGGCGCTGTCTGGCCCGGCCCGTGCCCAGTGTTCTGCCCCTGTGCCTCGGACCCCGGACTCGGCTCCTCATACGCATGCAGCCGCCCTGCAACAGACCGAACAGTGCCAGCCTCAGCCTCACCCGCCCGGGTCGCAGCCCTGCGCGGCGGGCACCCCCGCCGCCTCCAAGGCCAGCAGCGAGCGCATGGCGTCCAGCACCTCCTCGGGGTCCACCCCGCCGCACTCCACGGTGACCAGCAGCTGGGCGGCTGCCTCGCCCGCGGCCTGTAGCGAAGTGCAGCATGGAGCTCTTCTTAGTTTGTGTGTGTGTGGTTTGGGGGGGGGGGCGTTGCATCAGCGGCAGGCCACTCCGCGACACTCGGGAACCACCTGCCTCATGCCGGGTGCTCTCCTCCCAGACTATCGAACTCCCCACTCTTCCCGAGACTCCTCTCGTCCCTCACCTTGTCCACCTCAGCGCTGAGCAGGCCCCAGGCCCCCGCCCCCTCCTCCTCCCGCCCCGCCTGGTCCAGCATCCCCCGCGCGCGCGCATACTCGGCGGCGACGCGGCCGCGCGCGCCCGCCGCCGCCGCGGCGCGCAGGCGCCCCGGCAGCCCCACCCAGGCCTCGTACCGGCCCAGCAGGCCCAGCACGGTACGGATGCGCTCCGCGCGCTGCGCGCGCGCGTGCGTGCCGTCAAAGGCGCGCGCGGCGGCCGCACGCGCGCGCGACACGCCCGCGAGCACGGCGGCCGAGGGGGCGCCGCTGGCGGCGCCGCCGGCCTCAATTCTGCGCAGGCGTGCCTGGATGTCGTCGATGGTGCTCTTGCTGGAGATGAAGCGGCCGAAGTTGTCGCGGACCAGGCCGCGGAGCGCCGCCGAGTGCTCCTCCAGCTGCGCCTGCAGCGTCCGCATGCCCATCTGCAGCCCGGCCAGGGTGGTGTCCTGGAGGGCATGGCAGAGGGAGGGAGGGGGCGGGGCTAGATGAGCTGGGCGAGAGAGGCCTCTGAAGCCCCGGACCAGGCGCAGCGCTGCACAGCGGCCTGTGCTGAAGTGCGTAGGGTTTACTGCACTGCTTTCTGATCCTCTATGGATCTGAAGCATCCATCCATCCATCCCCAAACCACACACGTGCCTTGTGAATGGTGGCCAGGTACAGGCCAGGGTCAAAGTGGGGCCCCGTGACCAGCAGCCGCTCGTAGGGTGAGGGGCCGTCGTCGGCCGCCGCGGCGCGCGCGTCGGCGCTGACTTGGCGCGGCAGCGCGGGGCCGGCGCCCTCGCCGTCCAGCGCCGCCCGCAGTGCGGCGTCCAGCTGGACCAGGCCCAGCGGGTCGCGGGGACGCGCCTCCCTTTCCTCGTACCCGCCGAGGACCGGCTGGTGGGCCGGGGTGGCAGGGGGTAGGGCCTGACCCAGCGCCGCATCGTCGCCGGCTGGCAGGGAGACGGCCACGATGGATGCCGCAAGCTGCTGCAGGGCCTCCGTGTTCACCTGCGGGGCCGATAGCACAGCTTGAGGATACTTGGGGGGGAACATTCTGTCTGCACTCGGCGAGGAGGGCGACAGAGCAGGGAGCGGCAGCCCATGCGTGGGTTGGGGCTGTTGTGCAGTGCCAGTGGGTGCTGCCTGCGGGAGGTCAGCACTCCCATCCCTACCTCGGACCAGAGGGTGGGCCCCTGGCTGCCAGGCTGAATCTGAGATTTTGAGGGTGCATATGACCTGGTTGCCACGGGTGCAGGCTCCGCCTCCGTGTCGCTGTCCGACAGCAGGGAGATGTCGTCCCCGTCCTCCTCCGACGCCATCCTTGGGCAGGGGAGGTAGTATTCAACCAGCGCCGTGGACTGTGCACATGAGTGGTGGCTATAACCTCATTCCTGTGTGTGGAGACCCGACCAGCCGCACGTGATGGTGTATGTGAATATACTGCGACCGCCAAGAAGTGATCTAGACACACAGTGTGCCGGGAGACTCAGGAGCACTCCGACCCAGGATCCCAGAATCTACCTCCACAACATCATTCAAGAACGCGGGTGGTCAGTGGGACTCAAGGGGAGGATATCTCCTGTTTGCATCATGTCGGTGCGCTTCCTGACGAAGCGCGCGTCGTCTTTCCTCGGCGCTATGTCCATGTTGAGGGACAGACATCCATGAAACAAAGCGGCAACAGGCGCCGGTGCAGAGAGGGCACGAGAGTGGTGACATCTAGTATACAGACGGAAGGTACAGGGAACAGTACGATCACTCCCAGTCGTCGCCCCAGTCGTCGTCGCTGGCCGCCTTGGAGGCCTTCCCCACCGCGGGCGCCAGGGGGGGGGCCATGGGCGTTGACTCCCCCGACGGGCCCTCGCTGATCACCGACCACGAGGTGCTGGGGCCGTGGCGGGAGGCGGTGCTGGCCGCGTCCTCGACGGCCCGCCCGCTGCTGCCGGGGCTGGCGGGCAGCGGGCCGGGCGAGGCTAGCAGGGCGTCTGCGAGGGCTTGCTCCCGGCCGGCGGGGTCAGGCGCTGTGTCGGCTCCGTCCGGCGAGCTGGGTCCTCCTCCGCAAGCCGTGACCGCTGCCGTGGGGGCTGCAACTTCCTCGGACTCCGGTTCCCCCTCGGCGCTGCGACCTGCGGGGCCCTCGCCCGGGCCGGCGCTGGCGGAGGCAGCGGCGCTCACCGCGCCCGGCTTGGCCAGCAGGACCCGCGCCTGCGCCACGCTGCCGACTTCCTCGCCGGGGCAGGCCGACCCACCGGCTGCCGGCTGGTCCCGGCTCGGCACGCCATGCGCCACCGAGCTGCCTTCGGCCGCTGCTCCTGATGCGCAGGGCACTGCCAGCGCCGCGACTGGTTCCCCGGCACCCAGGCTCTCCGCGACAGACTTCCGACCGAGTGCTGCCGCCCGGACCTCGTCCCCTGCCCCTGGTGCTCTTCCCTGCGCCAGTCCCTTCCCCGCCGCCCCTGGGCTCGCCGGCCCCGCCCCTGCTGCCGGAGCCCCGACCTCACCGGGGCCGCCCGCCACCGCCACCGCCTCGTCCTCCTCCTCCTCCTCGTCCTCGCAGTCCCAGTCCACCTCCTCCACGCGTCGCGAGCGCTGCGTCAGCTCCCGCAGCGCCCGGCGCCGTTCCTCCGTGCAGTACCGCGCGTACAGGTACCGCTGCCAGAACGCCTCCTCCGACAGGCGGCCGGGGACGAGGCTCGCCAGCAGGCCGGCCAGCCCCGGGTCGGAGGCCTGCGCGGCGGAGCGCCGGGCCTCCATGCGCCCCTCGCCCAGCCAGGCCTGGAACTGGGGGCTGCCGGAGGGGTCCTCCAGCAGGGCCGCCGGAGCCACCGCGGCACTGTGGGCCCCGGCTCTGGCACCGCCGCTCCCCGTCGCGGGCGCTGCGGCGGCGGTGTCGGAGACCCCGCCGCCCAGCACGGCGCTGATGCCCTCGCGCAGGCCCATGTGCACTTCCTCGCGCAGCGAGCTCAGCGTGCCGCTGAGCTGCCCGGCGGCGCCGCGCTTGCGCGACTGGAGGGCGGTGCCGGCCTGCGGGGGACGCAGGGATGGGTGGGTGCGGTGGTGGGGAAAGGGAAGGGGGGGGGGGGGGGGGGGGCGGGGCGGTGGTCATGCGTGCCGACGTGTCTGTGCGGCGTCTCACCACGCCCCGACGGCAGGCGGCTGCAGGGCGCGTGCCGAGCTCATCCGTGTGCAGGCTGCCCACCTTCTCTGGCAGGTGCTCGGCGAGGACCGGCAGGCGCTCGGCGGCGGCCTTGGCGCTGTGCGCCAGCGCGGCGCTCTCGTCGCCCAGGCCCTGCTTGAGGGACGCCAGCTCGGACGCCCAGTCGGTGTCGTGGATGGAGGCCGCCAGGTCCGCTGTGGTCTGCTTCACGGTCTCGGTCAGGGTGGAGGCGAAGCCCCAGAGACCCGCGGCAGCCGACTTGGGGGAGGCCCTGCAAATGAGGAAGCAGGGGGCTGGTTGAAGGTGAGCCCAGGCCGGGTAAGGGACCCCTCCAGATGGTCAATGACTCCGGCGCTGGAAATCACGCTGGCATCCCAGGCTCACGTTGACGCCGAGGCCCCATCCTGAGGAGATCCTCCACCCTGCGACAGAGCAGGAGTGGGGGGGGACCGGCCTTGATCCTCGCATCTCGGAAGAGGCGATGTGCAGCTCGCGCTCAGGTTCCCGTCACGCTCCCAAACTTACATCGTCCTTACTGGGTTCTCCGCGGAGGGCGGACGTCAATCCAGAGAAGCTGAACATGACCCCAACCAAGTGTGAACGACACGACGGGCGTGGGCGCACGAGGGACTCCCTACGCAGCCCTGTCCTGGATGATTAAGTTCAAAAACCAAAGAAATTAAAACTCTTTCACACTGCAGGAGCAAAACTGTCCCTGAAGATGAGGGGAGGGGAGGGTGCTGGTCAGCGGGGAAAATTGGTTCTCGACTTCTCCGAGAATGCCATCCCACCAGCTTTCCTGCACATGTAAGGCGTTCAATGTCAGCTATGTCAAGCCCACCCAGGCTCAAGCTCCTGTCATTGAGTCGTGAGCAAAGGCGTGACGGGTATCACACTAGAGAGATGCCTAAAAAGATGGTGGTGTATTGCATTGGTGACATACGAGCGAGTCGTGAATCAAGCACACACGAACGCTGCTGGGGGATGCTGCTCCACCAGGTCATTTATCACCATCTCAACGCACAAATGAGTAGATCAGGAGAGGTATTCACGTTATGATGTGTTGTTTAAGGTGGGTAGACAGTCATGGAGCAGTTTCGGAGGAGCACATGAACTGCTACAAGTTGATCTAGTCATGCATGGCTTGGGCCACGTGCATCGAGCATCACCTCAGCAGGTAAATTCCACACTGAAAGGCAACGAGGACGCGTGTGTGTGCATAGCAGTGGATGGGCCGTGCTGTCGTTGCAAACGTGTGTTACATCAAAGCATCTGATCGAATCTAGAACCACAGATTAATGAAGTCATGCCTAGAACTGCACTGATTGCCACAGGGGAATGTTACATAGTGGATGGCTGCAAGATAAGCCCTGGAGATTTGGACAAAATCCTTGTATCTCAAGGGACGTCTGGACACTGAAGTTTCTTCAGGGGCAAGTCTGCAGCTGTTCTTGCAGTCCCTCTCGGCAAGGTCCCAGCGGGCGCGCGCGCGAGTCTCCGAGTGGGAAGCATAGGTGCGCAAGGCCAATAAGCTTTCGATCAAGCACCAACTCAACACATCAAAGAAGCTCACCAAATCTCATTCTTTGCATGTAATAAACCCTGGCAGTCTCTTGGGGCCCAGTCACACCTCCACATGGGCCGTCGACGAGGGAAGAAGGGAGAGAACGCAGGCGAGAATGCCGATGAGGCCGACACAAAAACAGCAGCCGACGTGCAGGGGGACCCACTGAGGGCCCTCATCGCCATCAGCCCCACGAGCGGCAGCGTAGCTGTGGCAGCCGGTCCAGAACTCAGGGTGCTGGCTCGAAGTGCAGCAGGGTGGGTGGCAATGTGCCAGCATGGGGAGTGTTGGCAGGGCTGGCTGGGGTGGTGCCGCCTCCAATGACGCTAGCATCAACCAGACTTCCTCCATTCCTTCCACCCAGTGCCTATGATTCGTCCGTCAGGGTCTTGCACGCGCAGCAACCCCAACCAGGGCCCTCTGCGATCCGCACGCTTGCATTTGATGGCAGTGGGGAGTTCCTCCTGGCATCGACGGACGCCAAGGTGCTCTACGTATGGAGGACAGCCACCTGGGAGCTGCAAAATACCATGTGAGGGTGGTTTCGGAGGGACCTCGGACTGAAGAGAATGAGCGTGACATTGCTGCGGCTCCCTTGGCTGTACATTGCAGCCCTCATTGGCGACTGTGGCCGCTGAGCAAGCCTCGTTGCTCCTGTCTGTTTACAGAACTCACAGCTGGTACCTCCCCTGCATTACCCACCCCTGCTGCTCAGCCCTGCGCCTGCCTCCTTCATACCAGCAAGCTGCCCAAGCGTGCGACGTCAATGGCCTTCACAGCCGACAACCAGCACTGGCTGCTGTCCGACAAGTATGGCGATGTGCTGGTGGCGCCCCTCGCCTCCAAACAATCCGGTGTGTGTCGTGGCGTTGTTGAGCGAGGGGAAGGAGGGCTCGGAGGCGGCCCAGTCCCCTCATGTGTGGCCTCGTACCACTCACGCCTTACCAGCCCCTTAACTCCTCTCCCTCCCCTTCCACCCTTTCTCACACTCCGCAACACCTCCTCCCTCCTCTTCACCCAGACCTCGTGCCCGAGGTCCTGCTGGGGCACTGCAGCTCCATCCTGACCTCCATCTCCGTCCCCCACGACGGCGCGCTCATCGCCAGCGCCGACCGCGACCAGAAGGTGCGCGTCAGCAGGCTGCCCGCCGGCGCCGGGGTCATGGACGGCGCGCCCCACATCCAGTCCTTTTGCCTGGGCCACACCGACGCCGTCACCGCGGTGGCCTTCATCACACACGAGGTGGGCTGCTGTGTCAGGTGGCCAGGGAAGAGCGGGAGAGCGTGGGCTTTAACAAAGGAGGAGTGGCGGGCGGGGTGTGCTGCGTCTGGGGACAGCCCTGCTGGGTGCAGATCGTACATCAGCCCTGGGCCTGCTCGATTCTTTCCCAACACTGCATCAGAGCAGGGGATTCTGGGACCGTCTTCCCTGAAATGTCCACTGCAACTGCCCAGCTCCTCACCCTCCCCAACCTATGCCTCCTCAGGGCTCCACTCTACTCGTCAGCGGGAGCGCAGATGGGACACTGAAGCTCTGGGACCCGAGCCTCGGCGACCTGCTCGACTCCCTGGACCTGCCCGCCGCGGGGGTCGCGGGGGCAGGGACCACGCCCGGCACAGACGACGCCGGCGCGGCGACGGAATTGGGAGCAGGAGCGGCCTCGGCGGGGGCCCCCACCGACGCAGTCCTGGGCCTGGTGCCCCTCCCTGGGACAAACCAGGTCGCCGTGCTGGTGGACGCCCGGCACGCCGTCCTGCTGGCCAGCGTGGACTTTGGAGCGCACGCGCTGAGCTGGCGCGGCGCTGCGCTGGACCTGGCGCCGCTGCAGCCCACCGACGCGGCCGTGGACGGCGCGGGGCGGCTGTGGCTCGCTGCGGGGCCCTCGGGCGGCGCGGGCACCGGTGCTGCCCTGGCGCTGGCCGAGTCGGGTGGCCGGGGATTGGAGCGTGTCGGCCTGGTGGGCGTGGAGGGCCTGGGCGCGGCTGCCTGGTCAGAGATGCAGGGGGATGTGGGCGGCGGCCCGGGGAAGCCCCGCCGCCTGCTGGCCCACCTGGCCAAGGTGCCGCCGTCGGAGGAGGACGTGAACTTCCGGAAGAGGCAGCGCCGGGACCTGCGGGGGGGTTGAGGCGCTGCAGAGCGGCCGGGACTGGCCCTGGCGGGCGCCAGGACGCGGTGTTCATGCAGATCACTGCAGGCCCGTACCTGCCTGCCCACCGTGCAGCCCCGTCTTTTGAGTGGGTCAGTTCAACGAGGAAAACGAGCAAGCATACTCGAGCTATCGAGGGGCAACGACAGCTGACGCTCACACATGCGAAGAGGAGGATGGGGTCCGCCGCCAGCTCGGCGTGCGCATCGACCAGCCGCAGGCGCCTGTCCCTCGGGGTCAAAGCGTGGTTCCCAAAATATGCCTCAGTCCGCCACCAGCCGGCTCAGGGCCTCTATGAACTGCTTGAGGTTGGCCACGACCCTCTTGTCGCCCGACAGCGTCCCGAACTCGCCTGGGCAGCAGGGAAGGCATGGGGAGCGGCTTGGCTGTGGCAGGAGTGACGTCTCAGGCGGCCGCGAAGAACAGCCTCGCATCTATTGTACATCCCCAGAACGGCCCTTAGGCCCCTCCTGCAAGATTATCAAGCTGACGCAGCACCTACCATCCCTCTTCTCTCCCCTACAGGAATATCAAACAATCCTACAATGACACCCCCTCCCAAAAAACAACAAAACAAACCTGCTATCCGCTCGATGTGGGCAAGGGTCTTGGTCAGGGTCTGGACCGCCTCCCGGAGCGCACGCACGTTGCCGTCGGTGAGCACCTCCACCTGCAGCCGCTGGATGTCGGCTGCCGCCTCGGCCGCCACCGAGGTCAGCGCCTCCACGTTGCCCAGCAAGCCCCCCTGCCTCAGCTCCTCCAGCAGGGGGATGATCTGTGTGGAAGGGGGGTTGGAGGGGGGATTTGAAGGGAGGGGGTGGTCATTTACCTACTGGACCGCATGACGCTCGGACCAAACACCGCTGCTCTCCCTGAAGATTCCACACATGCGCACATCCAGCAAGGAAGCCGCCGCACACCTGCTCTGTCAGCGCCATGGCGCGCTGGAGAAGGGGCTCTGCGCCCTCCAGCGCTGCCTGGGCCGCGTCCACGGCAGAGAACATGCGGTCGAGCCCCGCGGCATCCATCTGCCGCGCGATCTTGGTGCAGATGTACACCAGGTCGTCCATGGCCACGCCTGGGGAGCGGGTGCGAGTGCAAGAAACTTTTGTTACGGGGGGGCCCAGGGGGTTCAGGCGGTGCTTTGCGCAAGGGAGGTGCCCGCCGAGGGGCGGCAGGAGACGAGGGCGGGCGGGATGGGGGCACACGGCCTATTCTCCCCACTGCGGCACACCGCTGCCCATCCCCCTTGCACTGCCAGAAGAGGTCATTCCCCGGACACACCTCGCTCGCCGCGGATGCGGCCCTGGTGGCACACCACCTTGCCCTCCTCCTCGCACGAGTCGTCCAGCGGGTTGCCTGAGCAGCGCGGGGGGCAGGCCAGGGGAGGCTGTCGAGGGCCAGCGGAGCGGCCGAGGGTGCAGGTGCCTTGGTACCAAGCAGCCCCCACCCCGGTCCCACCTCTCCCACCCCCCTCGCAAAGCAGCCCACCCTTGTACTCCGGCAGGGGGAGCTGGGGCGTGATGTCGATCAGCGGCTCGGCGATGAGCCCGCTCTGGTTGGCCTCGATCAGGGAGTTGCGGGGGATGACGGTGGTGGAGTCGCGGATCTCCACCAGCACCTCCACCTTCTCCAGGCTGGGCTGCACGCCCAGCACGCCACCCACGGGCACGCCCCGGATGCGGACGGGTGTGCCCACCGAGATGCCGCAGGCCACGGGGAACTCCAGGATGGCCTGGTAGCTCTGCCCGCGCCGCCCGATGTTGTTGCCCTTGGCCCACGAGGCCAGCATAGAAGGCCATGCCTGGAGTGTGAGGGCGGGGGGGTGTGAGGAGAGGCATAGCGAAATGCAGGACGCGAGGATGAACGGAGGCCCCAGCAACCATCCCTGGGATATACACCCCGCCCGGGCAACCTCCACCCCCACTCGTGAGAACCGGCAGACTGCCCATGCAACCCTCCCCTCCAGGCTGTCCCTGTCCCCCATGCCAACGCCTGCCACATCCAATCCTCGCCGACTCACTGATGCCGGCGATGACGAACAGGCCATTGGTCGCCTGCCTTAGGCTGGTGGCCCCCAGCCCAAAGTCACGCAGGGGCTGAAGCAGGGCCGACAGGAAGCCCTGCTTGCGAGGTGGCTCCAGGGAGGCGGGATCCATGGATGCGCTTGCCCTCGTGCTCGCTGGGAGGGGCCGACACCGGCGCAGGCGGGTGGAGGGAGCCAGCCCGGGAAGCACTGGCCGGAACCACTGCCCATTACATACCCCGGAGCCCGCGCCGCAGGGGAGGAACGAGGCTGCACCAGAAGGCCTGGTGGACAGGAGCTGCATGGCGCGTGCTTACCAGGGCATGCTTGGCGGATCTCTGGTGTGAGTGTTTGGAAATGCCTCCCCGATTGATGTCTGTCGGGACACGATGATCGCTTTCCGGCGTGCTTTCCAGCGGGAGGGGGAGTGCTACGTTATGTTACAATGCACATGGGGGCGGCTCCCACGCTATACAAGCACACTGTGTTTGCAGTGCACGACAACCATGGTCATCATCGGCATGTTGCCAGGCCGACTAGTCGGCGTGGCAGCCTTCGGAATCGGTGATGAGGGCGTTCACCCCATTGTCATGGTCGCTGCAGCCATGGTGGCGGGTCCATTGTCAGGTGGCCCCATGCCCCCTGCCCAGTCAGCATCCGTTTGGTTGTGGGGTTTGGCACCCTGGAGTGCCTGGTATCGTCGCTTGTGGGGCTTGGTGGCTTGGTGGGTGCTGAGCGCTGCCTCCGAGATGAAGTAGCGGCTGCAGGGAAGGCAAAAGAACTTCCCGTGCGCTGGCACGTCTTCGTCGAGCTCCGCTCTATCGACAAAAAACGGGGAATGGTTTTAGCAAAAGCTGGTCTGGCGGTGAGAGGCTCATTTGTTGCCACCATGGCACGCAGCTGAGGATTATACACCATCCCAATCCCTCCGCTCACCTGCTGGTCGTGCCCAGTGGTCCTACACTGCCATTATGAACCTCCGAGCCCTCTCTCCGGACATCCTCCCAGACCTGTGCAACACAGAGAGAATGTTAGTTCGCTGCGGGTGCAAACACAGCATGTATGCAGAGCACATTCCATCCCCTCTCCCTCTCCCCTGCTACATGCGCACCTGGTCTATATGCCGTGCTCTGAAAACTTTCCTAACACCCTGCTTGTTCACCCTCGTGCCCTTTCTGCTGGAGTGTGTCTTCCTGCTCTTGCCGGAGCCCATGGTGGAGCCGCCGACGAAAGCGGCGCTAAAGGTTGGTACAAGGATGCGAAGCACTCTCAGTGTCACCTTATTTAAGTATCGTCGCCACGAAAGGAAGAGCTCGGGCCGGGTGTCGTATCAACAAAAAGGGGGTCATTCCTCGCCCACAGCAGCGCGCCCTCCCCGCAGGCGCGCTGTTGAGGGACGCTGGTAAGGGAAGATCAAACGTTGCCCAAGCCCTCCTTCTCTTTCAACCTGCCTTCCTGCCGCAAATTCCGTCTCGGAACAAATACGTCTTGAACCTGTCACAGACACAATGCCATGCCTCACACTTGCTGGCGAGTAGAATTGTTGTAGCACTCCTCCGGGTCCATGTCGGACCAATACGCCCTTGCCGTTGCCCGCATCGTCGTGGCCAAGCTGGCAGATGGATCTGGGTTCGATGCCCTCCAGACCTCCTCAGCATCCATCCTGTCGGAGCTGCTGGTGCGGTACATGGAGGAGGTGGGGGTCAGCTCTCATGCCTACACAGAGCTGGCTGGCCGCACCGAGCCCAGCGCCATGGACGTTGTAAGTGGCTCGATGGGGAGCATCATGCTGCATGGTGGTAGGAGCTGCCCTGGGGGATGAGAGATCCATCGCGCAGGACTCTGCCTTGTGCACTTTGTGTACCCAGCCAGCACCCTTCCCCATCTCGCCCATCCTCCACCAGCTCTTTGCCCTGAACGACATGGGGGTCTCCGTCACCGAGCTCAAGGAGTTCAAGCAGTCTCAGGTGGGTAATTGAGTACATTATCTGGTAATAGCCGGGATGTGTGGCTCCAGCGCGCATGGGGCCAGCCTCACTGAGCTTTGTAGGGATCTCAGGCCCCGTCTCAATCCTTCCCCACATTGCAGCCCAAGGGTTCTGCCTTCCCTGCCCCCATCATCCCCTTCCCGGTGGCCCGAAAGACACGACCGACCCCCACCTTTGCAGAGCGAGGGGAGGCGAGTGCCATGGGCGCATGGGTTTTGGGAGGGCGTGTCCCGTCAAAGGTGCAAACTCCTGCCGCTGACCTTGCATGGAAGGGCCTGCTTGCCGCTGCACCCCAGCGCTGGCCCCTGGCCTCGCGCCAGCACTTGACCACGCACTCTACCGCTGCAAGCCATGCAGGCCCCGCCCGCCCACATCCCCGACTTCCTCCCCGCCTTCCCGGACCGGCACACGTACTGCGAGACGCACGAGCTCCCCCTGCCCGACGCGGACCCCGCGGCGCGCCATCTGGCAGGCATGGAGGCGCAGCAGGCGGCCGAGCAGGCGCTGGTGAAGCTGCACGCGCGCGCCGCGCCGCAGGACCCCGTGCTGGCATCGGCGCTGCCGTCCAAAGAGGAGGGGCCTGCTGCGGCGGCGGAGGGCGGCGCACGTGCGCACCCCGACCCCGCCGTGCCAGAGCTGGACCCCTGGTCCGCCCCGCCGCTGCCGGACGACGTCGGGCCGCCCACGCCACCCTTTCCTGGCGGCACACCGGCCGAGGAAGGGGCGACGGTGGAGGATGCGGCGGACGCGGACATGCCGGACGCCAAGCCGGAGCCATTGCGAGACCCGGAGGTGGCGGCCGCGCTGGGCGCCACGCTGGCCCCCGCCTTCCAGCCCTGGGACTGGCAGGCGCGGCTGTTGGCCCTGGCCACCCAGGCACAGAGCCAAGCGTGAGCATCGTTGGCGGGGTGTCTGGGAGGGACTATGAGGGTTGGGATGGTGCGCCTGGCGCCGTACGGCAGAGGTGCGTGCTGTGTCGATGCGACCGCCGTACCCAACCCCACCTTTCATTCGCTATGACAACCAACCCACCCCCCCAAAAAACGCCAGGCCGGAGGAGGACGCATTTGCCGCGACGGCGCCCGGCGCCATGCTGTCCACCAAGCACGGGCGCCACGCCAAGCGCTCGGCGCGCGCGCTGGAGGCGAGCTACGTGCCCGCGGACCCCACCCGGCAGCGGGTGGAGGAGATCATCGCGGTGTCGGGGTCAGGGGACGCTGGGGCCGCGTCGGGCGCGCCCGCGCCCGCCGACGTCATGTACGCCGCTGACGAGGACGAGGCAGAGCAGCTGTGAGTGTGGTGCACTGGCACGACGCCAGACGGATGGGAGCCCGGGCAGGACACCCTACTCCTTGCCTGCGCGTGTCGCTGTGAAAGCAATCACATTAAACCATGCTCACGGGCAGGCTCGCGGGGGGTCCAAAGCGGGGCTGGCAGACGGGCACGCAGGGAGGTTGGGTTTGGCGGGCCGCAGCGCAAAACACACGTCGCTCGGCGGGTGGCCCCTCCCTCTGAGTGCGGGTGGCCCGGCGGGCCACCCCCTCGGCGCATGCGAAGGCGACCTCCTCCGGCCGAGCGCGCGGCCCCGCTGGAGGGCCGCACAGGCCACGCCCGAGTCTCCATGATCCTCTAAAACACGTTGCCCATCTGCGCCTTCTCCTTCTCGTACATCTCCCAGTAGTTGTAGATGATGGTGACCGCCAGCAGGATGCCCGTGCCTGAGAGGGGACGGAGGGAAAGGGATTTCAATGGGGGTGTTGGGCAGCATGTTTGAGCAGCCCAATGCGCCAGCTGGGTAGCACCAACTCCAACAGGCATCCCCCTGCTCTGAATACCCTCTCCGGACCCCCCCTCCCTTCTC